GCTGTCAATTTCTGAGTCATCGCACAAAAAAATAAAAAATAAACAAATCAAACTTTAGAAACGCCGAAAATCTTTAGCCCTCACCGAAAGTTTTATTGTAAAGTCATGAAAAACAAAGCTTTTAGGGAGAAAAGAATCTCTCTATGCTTTGCACTTTTTCTATCTTTTAGCGTGCAGAAATTATCGTTTTTCGGTACTCGACCGAATATTTGGGTGTAGGTGAGCCGCTGAGGGTTCGAAACCCATACCCTGTTTAGGATAACACCCTCAACTTTAGTACCCAGATAGGACAACTCCCTCAGATGGGGACAAGGTTATCAAGCACACCTGTCAACTTGTACTTATCTTATTTAGACAAGGGTGCCAAGAACAATAACATTTATATTTATTCCAGTAAATGCTTTGGGTGATGACGTACTAAATATCTGCAAACATTTGCACTAAGACAAAATCGATCATGCATGAAACACCCTGTTTATAATTAGAACAGACTCGCACAAATCATGCACACTGTTTAGGACAGACTTGCAGGAAATTGTATACCCTGTTTAGGACAGACTTGTGCCAAACTATATACCCTGTTCAGGACAGAGAGGACGAAAACCATACCCTGTCCAGCGGCACATCCCCATGGAGGCCATATAAGGGAGTACCCCCCCAGGGATAGCAGACAGTTGTTGATTTTATGGCTCAACATAAACTATTTCTGTTTTCTTCTATTTATGGTTGATTTTTCTTCACTTTTAAGTGGTAAGTTGCTGTTTAGTTTAGTGTGAGAAGAATGGGTACTTTATGACATTATAAAAACCAAAGTGACCCTCACAACCTGTGGGATACTCGGGTCAACCTTTTGGTGCGCTGGGTATCTGGCACAATTAGCCAACCAGAACCCAAATCCTTTTACAGTCTTTTCTATGACCAAAAGGCCCAATGTTAGCTACTTTTGGCAAATGTAAACTATGTGATTCCAAGTTAGTCATTTTGTATTCCTGAATCTGCTGTGTGAACCTTTGTAATTTCCAGTCACATTGAACGTGTTGAAAATGCAGCCCCTTTATTGTCCATCCTGTCATGAAATGTTGCCCCATCCACAGGTAGCCCAAACTCTGAAGGAGTTTGTTGGACTTTGAATTTATAAGAGAATGTATGACAATAAACAAAATACGTCCTAAATTCCATTTTTTGACAAAAATAGAAATGAGAATGACTTACTTTGTGTTTTTGTTTTGTTAAGCTAAAACGGCCTGGATATACCCTACTTCAATAATTATTATTTATTTATCAGTATTTTAGTTATTCATTTTGGTATTAGGCAGGTACCACAAGGAAATGATTTGGTTGTTCCTTTTTAATTTAGATGATAGATAACTTTGTAGGTGATAATTATTTGTAATGCACTGAACTGGGGGCCTTTCTCTGCTACCAAAAGAAAATCTTTAACTTTTAAAACAAAAGGGTCAAGGCTTTTTTGCTGAATCCAGGCACTGTATCGTGGAACACAGTGCTTTTTAGAATTACTGCCAAAGAATGATTATAATGGAAGCTTTATTTAATGCATGGCTATAATTTCAAATTTTCAGGTGACTTTCCACCCCAGGTATAGAGGGTGCATAAANCAAGGTTGGCTGCCGGTTTGTAGAGTAGTTGAACTGTGTTTTCCGGTGCCACACAGTGTCCTTTCCCCCCCCCCCCGGATTTAGGGTTAGGAAACTGGGTGAATCAGGTTCCATTTAGGGTTTTTATACTGGGAAAACTGACCTGAATCTAGATTTACTCAGTTTCCTAACCCTAGTTACTAAACTTAGAGTCATTCGGCGTTCTGCAAAATACCCCTGCGTCAAACCTCGATCCGTGGCTGTTCTCGAATGGTATTGTAAACAACGCTCTCTTTCTCTGACTGCCTTTGTCTGTACATGGAAAGACCATAGTGAGGAAAATCAGAACCTAGGAAACTTTGCAAACTTGACTCTAATCGATCTCAAAACCACATTACTTGTGTTATAATAAGTTAATGCACTATTCTCGCACCTCGCTGCCTTTAATTGGCGGCGGGGAGCGGGGGGCGGATTTTGCACTCAACGACCGAGCATGAAGACCGCTGCTTTTTTTTCCAATTCACGAAAATTATACCTCATTTTAAAGCTGAAAGCGCGTAGAATTCCTTAACATTTTATTTGATTTGGGTTGATATACACTTTAAGTTACCGATGTTATTATTTAATTCTCGTTTTGGTTTAATTTATTTTTCACAGATGTCAACCAAACCACCTGCATCGAGTGTTCTGAAGTTAAAGCCCTCAACTTATCCTGCAAAGATTCCATGCGTCAGGTGCCGTGTTCATCCCAATGCTTTACAGCTAAGGGAAACATAACGTATTTCTACAAACCTGATGAAGTTATTACAACAGCAATAGAGGAACGAGGATGTGCTAATTGTACGGGTAAGTACATGTAAGTCTCCATGGCGTTCTGTTAAGTACTTCTTCCCAACACGGACACCTTGAGTTGGTGCGTACCTTTTCCTTTTACTCTCAGGCAGACATCTCGCTAAGACGGACACTAAATGGCGGTCCCCAAAGATGTTCATCTTATTGAAAAATGACTATATGCGAACCGGCAAGATTCGGCATAAGAGGGGTAAAGAAAGAAAGAACGACACAGTCATAATAATGGCCAGTACAATAATGGAAGAATAAATTAGGGAAGGTGACTGTGGCGAATTTAATCATAAACCATCACATTACACCATTTCAGAAGTAAGAAGGCTGACCGACGTAAGGACAATGGTGGCACGTATTTCTGCTGATGATTCATCGATGCATGTTGAAGAATAAGAGTAATTGTGGCTCCTTGATAATACTTCTTCCGACCGCCCCAAGTTTCAAGTTTCAAAACGGAAAAATAATCGGGACACTGCGGCTCACACAAACCATACCGTAAACTTTTGCTTATAAGCCCCCCCCCCCCCCCCCCCCAGCCCCCGAAATCCCCCCCCCCTTTCCCCTCAACCGCGAGGGGAAAGCAAAAAAAAAAAAAAAAAAAAAAGGGACATTCAAAAGAGGGGGGGAGGGGGGGAGTAACAAGAGGAAAAATAACACAAGAAGGGGTCAAAAGAAACAGAAAAGCCACATACTGAGAACACTAAAAAAAAAAAGAAATGGTGCCCCTTTGTAAAAACTCTTCCCTCCCCCCCCAGGTTTAAATTTTAAAAAGGAAAAAAAATCGGGGCCCCGCGGCTCCCACAAAACACACCCCAAACCTTTTTTTTAAAACCCCCCCCCCCCCCCCTTCCCGAGCCCCAGAAATCCGCCCCACGTTTCATCTAAGTCAGAAGGGAAAATGCATGAAAATAATGAAAGACGAGAGGACATTCAGACGTGGACGGTGAGTGGAGACTGACACAATGATAAATGATGCAAGAGAGAGTCTAAAGAAACGCTAAGGCTTATACTCGGATAACTCAAAATGTCAATGAAGAGCACCCCCCGTCACTCCACAAAAAAAAAGATACTTACAAAGTTTATGGTTTTAGAAAGTATTCCTGTGTTTTCTTACTGGTGGGAGGGAACGTGTGGTGGTAAATGGTGCTTCGTTCAAGTGGGCATCTGTACTATCTGGTGTCCCCCAGGGCACTGTTCTGGGGCCAATTTTGTTCCTTCTCTTTATAAACGACCTGCCCTCGTCTGTATCATCAAGTTTCAAGTTATTCGCGGATGACAGTGTGCTCTATTGCCATATTGAGTCTTCAGCTGACCACGATAGGCTCCAGCAGGGCCTACTCCAATTTGAGGAATGAGTGGCTATGTGGCAAATGAACTTCGCTCCTAGTAAATGTTATATCATGTCCATCGCCCTTAAGCGTCAGCCATCGTCATTCTTGAACACGCTGTGTAACACTCCCCTAGAGGGAGTTACGTTCCAGAAATACTTAGGGGTCTACCTCACCAACTCCCTCAATTGGACAAAGCAGGCTGTGGAGGTGAAAAAGAAAGCGAATAAGATCCTAGGCGTACTCCAAAGGAACTTATCGTCTTGTAGCGTTGTTGTGAGGGAGCGGACCTATTTGCCCCTGGTCCGCCCTGTATGCGAATACAGTTCCGTCGCCTGGAGTCCATATACACAAAAAGACATTATCTGTGTTTAATCCGTTCAGCGTTGTGCGGCGCGCTTTGTTTGTAACGATTTCTGTCGTTCCAGTAGCGTTAATACAATGTTATCGAACTTGGGTTGGCAAGATCTTGAGACACGTGCACGTAGGAAGATCCCCGATTTGACAACGTTTTTTAAGATAAAGACAGCAAATGGGCGGATATCTTTCCCAAACGACCGACGCGGGGTGCACTGTCCTTACTTAAGGCAGTGCACAGCACCCATTACAGTTCCAGCATTATTCATCTACCATTAACGCGCACAAGTATTTTTTTTTTCGTAAGAGCTGTTCCCGCTTGGAACGCTTTGTCACCTGTTTCCTTATGTGCTGATTCCGTTGTTGTGTTCCATTCAAGTATTTGTAATAATTTTATGTGTTGACGATTTTTATTTATTTATTTATTTTTTTCTTTTTTCACATGACTTGTAATTTCATTTGTATTTATTTAGTTATTTGTTTTGTTTTGCTTATTTATCTCGCTGTCAATGTCATGAGCTTCCGTGTACTGACCGTCCATTGCCAGATTAGCTTGCTAGAGGCAATTATATCAATTAAAGATTAAAGTTGTGTTGCATCGCATACAAAAAATAAACTTCGCTCGTTAAATTTTGAGGGTTCTGTGAGTTTCAAAAAATGGTCAAAATTTGCTTATAAAAATGGTGTACGAGGGGATCGAATAAAGTGATGCTCGTATCTCCAATACAAGAGTAGTAAGGAACCTATGTTTGGTATATTTGCCCATTACTTCACCTGACCTATGCATGATGTTAGTATGAACTTTATATTCTGTTGACCCCCTTCCGCTGACATTTTTAACATTTTGCCCACTTTTCTCTGACAACCACTCTCAAGGATCTTCCTCCCTCCATGCAAACAGCCCTTAGTAGCAATTCGCTTAGGCACATCTTTCAATTTACTTCATGCTTTTCTTTACTTTAGACAAAGAAGCAATCTGTGCAGCATTCAATTCCTCCTTGGGCAACATGACCTTGCTAGACTGTGATATTGAGTGTTGTTCTGGCAATAACTGTAACATGCAGAACTTAACTGAGGTCATTCCAGCAACACCTACGACCATTCCAACACAGTTCCCCACGGCGCGTGAGTATTATCGGTCATGCGCATTGTACTGAGTAGATTTGTACGGCTCCTCTATCGATAACGGTCCTTCCAACACCTGATTTACATGTATACGGCCTCTCTAACGCAGTATATGGTTACTCTAACACCTGATCACGGACCCTCCATCACACAAGTATATAGTCCTTCCAAAGTACCAACCCTGCATCCAGATTTTTCCACTTAGAAAATCGGTTCCATTTTCTAAGGTAAAGCCCTCAGGATGATGTTGCCAAAATACACGTGAATAAGGATGTAGGGTTAGTTGTGCTATCTCGGTAGGGTAGGAAAACACAAAATATTGCTTTCATTAGCGGAGTTGAAAAAGTTAATTTTCCACAGATTATCTTAGAAGCTGATATTGTGAACGCTAGCCCTTGAATTAAATCAGCGAATCAAGAGTTGTGGGTCGCGTGTTGCGTTTTGATATCGAATGCTGGAGCCGCGCTTTTGGTGGGAAGAAGGTACTAACATGAAAAACAAGAATAAATAAAGTGAATAAACAGCAGGTTCTTTGATTCCATAGGGATATCTGGAACAAATTTTTGTTTTTCTTTCAAGTCGGCACTTTAAATCCCCATGAAAGAAAAAGAAGAAATCTCAGCTAGCCCATTGACCCTCTTTTAACCCATTCGCACCTGAGCCGCTCGTGCGGATCCAAATCCTTATACCGCTTTTGACGTCTTTAGTTTTAACGGTCAAGGACAACTTTATCAGCTAACTTGTTGAGGGTGAAGAGATCTTTCAAACCATATCAGAATGAGCACGATTCAGTCGAGGAGGCCGCAGAAAAACGCAAAAACCTATGGCAAGTTGACCCGAAAATTCCATTGAAAATCTTGTTTTACCACCCACTGCACTTCCTTTCACAAAATTCTACTATCCTAAAAGCTTTCTGAAAATCTTTTCCCATCGAAATGCCCAGCAAAAAAAAAAAAAAAAGAAAACCGGACAAGAAAAGCGAAAGAGGAGGGAAGGAGAGAAAGTGTAATGTAAAAGTTGAGACTGCTTTGTCATTTTTAAACCCCAAAATTTTGTTCTCTGTGCGTGCCCGAACTTCGGATTCCTATATTTTATACACGGAAGCAAAGTGCTCGACGTATGAACGACGTTTTGGGCAGTTTTGGTTTTTAATAGCCAGACAGTGACCAGAAGGCGGCTCGACTAGCTTCAAAAGCCTCTTTTCGGCAAAATTCCCAGGAGCGAATGGATTAAGCAAAGAAGACAGTTTTTAGAGAAAATCAACTTTTGAGTATAAAACAATCATGCAAACCCGAGACGAAGTTAAGGGTTTGCATAACTGTCGAGAATTCTCCCAACCCCTCGAGTGCTTAAATCAGGCTATGCAAATACCAGGAAAAAGTTTTATATTGCTTTTATAAATGAACTTTCCCGAGGAAAAGGACAAAACTCTTTGTTATAGCACTGATTAAAAGAAAAATTCTTACTAGTCTCGAAGTCTTTTACGCGAAGTCTTGCCCGCTTAATCTGTTCTTGTTTTGCAAAAAAGGTGCTTTCCAAAATATGGATTTTTTTCTCGCTTATATTGTCAGCTTAAGCGAAAAAAAACTGACACTGCAGGTTTGTAAAGATTTTCCAAGTTTCAGCCGTTGAGCGAATGGGTAAATAAAGTAAACTTGTCGAGTTTTCAACTCAAAAACCTTTTTAAGTTCGTGCTTGGGTGATTAGCGCGCGAAAGGCAAACATCTTGACGTCACAACCATGTTTAACACATACTCTCATGCAAACTCGCCTTTAGGCCAATCAGAGCGCGCGTACTATCTTAGGTAATGAATCTTGGCAATCTTCTGAATAGTCCACGGCTGAATATTTTCCAACGAACTCGTATTAAGAAAGGACAGGACTACTAACATACGCTTGAAAGTGGTGGTGTATTTGTCGCTGCAAAGAATACTGAATTGATTGTTAATTGTAGTAGTCGGAGAATAATACAGTTAATTGTGTTAGTATGGTCTAAACTGGCATCTGCTGGACGCAAGACACTTCGGGTCGATGATTAATCGAAGTTTAGACAGCATTTATAAAAGTCCTCGTCTAACCCATGTGTAAACCACGATTACCGATTATTTAAACCTAAAGTTCTTCCATAACCGTACGCGTTTATAGACCATTTCTAAACACCGACCAAGGAACAATAGTTAGTTAGACCTGGTCACACTGTTTAACGGCATTTTCATGGGGATGTTACTAACACGGGGACCGGGAAGCGGGGAACGAGCACGGGGAACGGGAAAATGAAAAATGGGAACAAAACGTAACTTGAACCCTAGCCCTATCAGTAACTGCCTTTTCAATTATCTGCTTTGTTCCCATTTCTCATTTTCCTGTTCGCTGTGCTCGTTCCCGGCTCCCCGTTCCCCTTTTTAGTAATGGCAAGATGGCCTACTGCGCTACAGACAATTGAGATACTGCTTCAATCGACGTTATATACATGTTCGAGAAATTCGGTTCCTTTTGGGACAGATTTGACCCTTTAGAGAGGAACAAGATGGCTCAATTTCTTATTACGTTTTCGTTTTAGAGGGGACCCTGTCATTGACCTCCTAAAAATTTTGGTAAAGAACTACAACATCAAACAGTTAGAGTTTTGCAGCAGACAATAATGATGCAGCAAGTTCTAATTGCCTTGAGATTTTACGCAACAGAAACTTTCGAGCGGGTTATTGGCGATTTATTTGGTTTTTCTGTATTTCTGGGTGCAATGTTATTCACAAGGATTAATGTGAAACTGCTAATAGAACTTAATTTCCTGTGATTCCTTGATTATTTGGCGGACATTAACGGAAAGGTATATGATGTTACGCAGTCACTTTCCGGGTGATTGAGGCCATCGATGTGCTTACATAAGGATCGCATGTCCAAACAAAGAAATTTTATTATTTATTTGATCCGTACTCAAAATTCAAAAATCCTTAACATATACTAATTTTTGTTGAGGTTGTTGTTCTTTTATTTTCAGCTGTCAACCAAACGACGTGTATCGCTTGTTCTGAAATTGGGCCGAGTAACACAACCTGTAACCAGAGCTTTTTTGTGGTGCCTTGTTCTTATCACTGTGCTGTACTTAGGGGAAAGATAGAGTTCTACACTAATGATGAAGTTACTGTAGTTCCTATAGGGACACGAGGATGTTTCAACTGTACAGGTAAAGATCAAGTTTTCATATGATCGCTACGACCGTGAAAAAAATTTGGCGAGCGGACCGATCATAGTAAACATAATACATAGATTTTATCCAGGACTAAAGTGAAGCTCCTGTTAATACATTTATAATTTAAAATCAAACAATAAACTTGTATTCCACAAATCAGTTAACTTTAAGGCAGATTCATTTTAATTTTGAGGGAGGGGCGAAGTGATTTTAGAGAAAAAAAATGATTTGCAAACATTCCACGAATGAAAGAAATCTAACATCGAGTTAATAGTCTTATATGTACACCCAAAAAGTAACAATCATACACCTTTGATCACAGTAGATTAGGCTTAGATCGGGGGGGAGGGTGTTTCCAACGAAATCGGTGGTTCAGTCCTCCTGCCAGCATGACGTCACGTCTCGCGTTAGTGACTTTCAAAATGGCGATGGATAACAGTTTCGAATTTCGCACGGATGTACTGTTTCGATATCTTGGATTTTGCGTTATTAAGATCCCTGCTGTCATAGAAAATCACTCTTCTCTGGTACCTTTTTTGGCGTGAAACGTCCAGTGGTGTGATGAATTTTAAAGGTTTTTTTTTACGGTCCAGCAAATTTTCCGAGCCTTCATATCGACCGGTCACACTTTTAAGGCCCGGTGCACAGCAACATTGAGGAATTGAGACACAGCAATAGGGGGTTCATCAACGCAAATAATAAGCTTTAAGTGTGCGTACTTTAGTTCTTCAGCACCAACGGATCCCCAGATGAATCCCTTCAAATTACGCTTCGCGCACCGTACACATTTTTTTACAAACTGCAACACCCTTTTTTGTAAAGAACTACCAAACAAAGCTAAACAAAAATGCTTTCAAGCGCCACACGATGACCACAGCGAAACAACCACAGCAACAATTTACCTCGAAGGGTTAAGCAGCAACCAACAATTTATGAGCGATTAAAGACAAATAACACAATCAATTGTTCTAAAAGCCGATTAAATAGAGTAAAAACCCTATAAGTAAACCACACAAGAAACCAAGTTACTAGAAATACGATATCGCAAAAACCTCGCAAAGCCGTAAAGGGTCAGCAGTAAAAAAAAAAATAGAATTAAAACACAAAAATTAAACAGAAAAAGAAACAGAAAACAGCGTCGCCGGGAGTCGAACCTGGTTTATTTTCACGAGCAAGCAACTCATTGACCACTGCACCACAGTGTCACTCATTTTTTGGAGATTTCATTTTTGTTATATTAAAGCCATTTTTCCCTGCCGCACTGAGACGCTGTTCGAAGCTGGGGGAGCTGTATTTATCTTGAGTTCAAAGATACATTTGAGGAAAATTAGCTTAAGCGCGTATTTCGAAGCTTTTTCGCGTTATTTCGGGTTTAGGGGGCCTATCAATGTAGATAATCGATGAAACTACAATAGCTGTACTGAGTTTGAGGGAGAATTAAGAAATCAACAGAGGCCCACACTCGAAGGGATGGATATTAAGTACGGTCGATTTAATCAGCGAAAGAATATATGGAATATAAACGTGTGTGATTCCTGAATCGAACCTCACTGGACGTTGTCCGGCTATTTTAGAGGAAAAAAGTGAGTTAATTTTTGACGACCTATGATAGTTATCCCGGAACACGGCCCGCGACACAAATTAAAAAATTACACTAAATACCAAGACGGTTTACACAAGCAGATAAAAGTAACAACAAATTTCACACACTGTTGATCAAATTAGCGATATATAGCAGTATTTGCTAACTTTTTACCTTTACCCCTACCTCTCTTGTTTTGTATGACTGTGGTGTGGTGTTCCTTGTTAATTGCACAAGCGACCCGAGGCTCTCGTCCGTTACTGTGTGACGTCACATTGGCAAGCGGATTGAGTCAAGAAACGTAGTTGGAGAACAATAGAGTTAGCTTCCTCCACGCGCTTCTCTTCCACATCACTAAAAATTATATAATTGACAACATTTTAAAACGTACTCATAAGGAGAATTCCACTATCAATGCCTAGACTGTTCAGTCTAACAATGGGCTTCCAGCGAAAACTTTCGAAAATAAGCCTATTTTAGTTTAATTTCCAAAATCACCCATACAGCCAGCTAGTTCTGACTTTTGACAAGCGCCAAATTTGCAGTGCAAGGTGTTGCATGTGTGAATGAACAGTAACGGAGTTACGCTTCAACATAATAAAGAATTTTTTATTTTTATCTTTTAATGCTTTTATTATGTGTAATCTTTAAAAGCATTTGATACACCCGGCGTTTTGAGTACTCTCGCAAGCGATGTTCATGTACGACTTAAAACAACCGGCACAGCGATCAAAATTGCGAAAGAGATCTTGACTAACAATCAGACAAGAAATATATTCGGTGAAACATTTACAAAGACAACAATTTTTATGCACAAAGACAAATATTGGGAGTGAAGTTTCTTTGAAATTCCTGAGTCATGTAAAAACCTGGCAGATTTAAATTTTAAGCCGGCTTCGCGGTGTTTGCTATTTTGCCAGATGAGCGCGGGGCAAGCTTTCCTTTTAGAACCAAAATTGTAAGTAAATATTCTTCCGAACGTTTTCTTTCTATTAACGGTCACAAAATGTCTAAAGGGTTTTAAAGTTCTGTATATCAAACCTGCTACTAGTTCAGATCATTGTCTCAAATCTTACAAACGTGTATAAACTAGCCGCATAAACTGCGCTCGAGTTTGTGAAACCAGAAACAAAACAAACATCAAATGCAATAATTACTCAAGCTTACCAGTCGAGATTCAGTTCCTGAAAGCCATCCCAGGTAAGGCCAGAATCGCTTGAGACTTTTCAACCCTAAGCTCATTTTTGAAAACGATGATTTCCGATGATTTTGACAAGCGGCGCGTTTCTCTACCAAAAACCTAATAAACAAACCAGCCGCGAATATCAGAAGAATCTTGATAGCAGCGTTGTTTCATTTTGTAGATCCAGTTAAAAACATAATATGTGACTCTCTCAGCTTCAGCTATCAGTAAACAAGTTTCCACAAGCTGCGTACATTTTCCGTTTGAATTCACCTGTCAAATTTTGATCAATCGGGAAAAAAAATGAGACGTTGAGCGTGATCAACACGTGACCATGGTGAGCAAAGTCAAAGTTTTTCTGTCGTTAACTGAAAGGCAACTGGCTTCCCTGCTTGTAAAAGTTGGCTAAATGTTCGCGTTTGAGATCTGTTTGAAATCAAAAATTTAATAGTACGGCTCATAAATAGAACTTATTTCCGGTGCATCAAAAAAAATTAAACTTAAGCCTGCGATCATTTGAAAACTAGTAACTTGTCAGCGGATAACTTAAAAAACCACGCAAACTCGATGGATCGACACCGGAGCCCGCGATACGGTTATAGGATACTAGTCAGCGGATTCCCCTGTTGAGAAAGCTGTCAACTGACCTCAATAAAGTGCGCAATATCAGGTTGCAAGCTTCCACACTAGCTAGAAAGTGTGAGATTTAGCATTGGTTTTTCTGTGGTGCGGACGGACGGACGGACGGTCAAGTGAGTACCAAATTTTCTCCGATGGATGGATAACCAAATTTTCTTAGCTATGGGGCTCCGCTCGTTCTCGCGTGGAACTCCGCTATGAAAACATGCTCAAAAATGATTCTCAATTTTCTGTTTCTGCGATGGTTGTCTCAACGATCACGGCGATCACATTGATGCGATCACTACGAGCAAGGGCCCAAAACAAAAAATGCGTTAGAAAGGAGGCTAGAAGAACCATGCGTGGAAAAACGACATAAAATCTGGCTAAAAAAGAAAAACAAACCAAGAAAATGAAAGTGTATATAGCATGTCCATCCAACGTAGGCTTTACACGATGAAAATCTAGCGATCATTGTTTCCAGAAGTGAAATCTGAAAAAAAAACTAAATGTAAACGCGACAAGAGCGATATACCGTAAAAACCCTGGACGAGGAGAAATTATTTCTGGTGTGTCGGATCCTGATATGGGTGCCTTTTTCGTTTGCACGTAGCCTATGAAGCGGGCGGGCTTATATCTACAATCGGCGACAAAATTGTTGAGATATTGTACTTAAATAGGGTAATTTCGGAGAACAAAAGAATCCGCACCCCTCCCCTGTCCCCTCCATTCAAAGTTGGGGTGTTTGTTGTTTTCTATAGGTAGCTAGAACAAGGGCACAACATTGCAAGGAGGGGATGGGGGAGGAAAGCTATATTTCCTCCTTTTGAAGTTAATAAAACGTAAAAAAAGCCCCGTTTGGGGCGAAGTGTCTCAACTCATTTTGTCACCGATTGTAGCTTACATAAAAGTACCCACCCACAGATATAATGGTCCATGTTATATTGCAAAGTCTGTTTTCGCCCCGCGGTTGGTAAATTTTTCGTTCATAACTTAATGTACGGGCAAAAATGTGTAACGCAAGTGCTCATTTTGCTGCTATGAATATGCTTATTCCATTAAAAAAAAAAGAAGAAGAAAGAAAGAAATATAATGATAGCTACCAAATGTCTGTAAATCCTGCGGACTGGGTCTTGACCTCGTCTTCCAAATTCTTGCCTCAATTTATCTGAGAAGCGGTTCAAGAACTGAGATGTAATCGACAGAAGAGGAGGATTTAGTCAGGAAATCAAAAATTTTACTGCAGGCCAAAAACCCCAAAACGCAGTTAAGAAGACAACTAGACTCGCAGAGATTCGAGATGTTTTGCGAAGGAACTGAACGAACGGTTCCTTCGACAAAACAAAGGAACCTGCACCTGATCTTGACAAGCTTTTCTTTTCAATCGCTTTATGGCCCGTGCGATTCATGCTAACGGGCCGTACTTGATGGGAAAAAACTTGGTCCGTAATTTTCAGACGAACCTCCTCTGCTGAGAAGAGGTGTGGATGGTTGCTCAAAGTTGGGGTTGTGCGTGGAAGGTTAATGCTGGCTCAGACTGTGTTATTATATATGAAGTGATTACATTTATATATATCTTTCAACTTAATTTATGCCGTTTCTTTACTTCAGACAAAGAAGCATTCTGTCCAGCCTTCAATTCGTCCTTAGCATCTGCCAACATCAGCTTGCTGGCTTGCAAAATAGAGTGTTGTTTTGGTAACAACTGCAACAATCTAAATTTTCCTGGTAGGTATATGACATGAGCGCATCGTCCAACCTATGAGGGAGGATAGAGAAACAAATAGTTTAATTTTTCCCTCTCCCTTTTTCTTCCGCCTCTGTTACTTTTTGGGTCATTTCTCCCCCCTCCCGTATTTTCCGAGTTTCTCCCTTGTTTTACGAGTAATAGTTGTTGATGGCTCCTTTTCCTTCTACTTATTATGTTTTATAGTTTATTCATAATATTTAGCCGTTTCTGGTTGGCTTAAAACTCCGAGCTGGTTTTTCATAACGCGCTCTGGTTTAGCAAATTTGCAAGAATTGTCAATCGTCTGATAATAGGAAGACTTATTGGACAAACGACGTCAGTGGCGCTCTGTTTGTTGAGTGGGCGTAAAAATGGTCGAAAGGTACCCATGATCAGCGAAGACGATGCAATCAAATTACTGGCTCAAACTAAAAGATCTGGCAAGAAAACACGTACAAAGAAGGATAGACGCCCACCGCTTCTTGAAAAATGGCTAGATTAAAAATTCATTCGTTCACATCATGAGACTGCGCAGAAACTAGCAAATGTTTCGAAGATATTCTCAGTGGTAGAGCGTTGAGAGGTGGCTGTTTTCGTAGGCTCTTCACTAAGAGATACTGATCGAAACTTTTCAATGGTAAATTAATCATGAAAAAAAAAATTCAATGAAAAGTGTACTACGACAACAATTTTCATTCAAGAGGGCAAATAATGTGACCGGAATGTTTCTCAAAGTCCCTTTAAAACTTTTTTTTCTATGTGTGTAATTTTCTCTCACCCGGCTTCGAGTTTGGAATGGCCAATACTGGATGAATGTACCTAGAAGCAAGAATTTGGCGAAAAGCTTTGTTTTTACAACCAACACTATGACAAATGAGTATTCTTTAGAATTCGTTCTTTCCAACTGCGTCCAGAAACAGGCGTATAAGTTTGTTTTTTTTTTAACCTGATAACGTGAGGCCATGCATGGTCTGAAATCTTACCCGTTGCCGTCAATGACATAACACCTGACGTAATTATGCCCGACTTAAAAAACAAAAGTCAAACCAGACAAAAAATGTAATAATTACTGATCAAAAGCTCGCCTGAAATGCAGCTCCTGAAAGCCATTAAGTGAGAACAACGCTTAAGCTTTGTCTTGTATTCTGCGTGAATGGCAGGTTTAAGTATAGCCAATAAGCCCACTTTTAAATCGATCGTCCCTTACAGAGTCTCTCCTCCTCCTCTCCCAGAGTTAGGTTTCTGATTTTTTTTTCAGCTATGGGGCTTCGCGCGGAAGCTTTACTATAACGTTCCACAAATGACTCTAGCTAGTTGAGGCGGGTGTTTAGGACAGTGCTTAGGACCGTACAACCATTAACTCCAAACTTCGTCTTTGATAAAATTTTCATCGCCTTTACCGAACACTTTCCAGCGGAAAGCGTAAGCCAGGCCACTGCAGAAGATCTTGGAGAGGAGAGCAGCCTATTGCAAGATAAGACCACAGGGGCGAAGCTTTGCTAAAAATTTGACGGGAAATCCGTTTTTCAAAGATTGCCAGGGGATGTGACGCCAAAAACGGTTTAAAAAGGCAAAACTTTCAACGGTCAAGACGTCCTTCTTTGGGGTCCGTTTGGACATTCTTTTGTAAACTTCTTAAGTCCTACTTTAAGTTCAAAATATAAAAGAAATTTTCTCCAAGGTCGCCGACATTATTTTAACAATCAGATAAGGCTGAGCACCCTTCGAGATCTGAATAAAAGAAATGTTTGGAAATCGAGGAGTGTCATTATATTCATGGTTTCCCTTTTAGCCACTTGTTGACTTCCAATCAAGCCTCTATAAGAGCGCTTTTCAGTTGAGCGTTAAAGAAAGTGATGATTATTTTGGCGTCATAATGCTAGTTTTAGAGACTGACTGAAATTTTATCAACTAATCAGACACGTAGTCTTGTTTGCATTGGCGCCGAGTGCATGAACTGACTTTCTGTGCATAATGCGGTTGACAAGAGGAATCATGACAAATTTGGTCCTACGAAGCTCTTTTGAAAACTACTGATGTTGACGCAAATTCGAAAAATATATTTTCATTCTGGCAATCTTAAGCGTTATTTTCTTTTTCTTTTTTTTTAGCTTTAGAAGAAAACGAAAGCGTCCCCATTCCTGTGATTCCTCCCCCACGTGTGCCGTCAACAGAAGAAAAGGAAGAGTCCGTGCAGATCTCAATTTCAGTTACTACAAACCAAGTAGGAGTCCGAAAAATTAAGATGATACGCTTTCGCATATCCGGTCCGGCCGAAGTCGGAAGTAACAAGGCAGGGGCGGATCTAGGGGGAGGGTGCAGGGGGTGCGCAAACCCCCCCCCCCCCCGAGATGACCTGCAGTTTTCTAATACAACTGGAATTCTCCAAAAAAACAAACTATGTGGTTTATTGGTGTTGAAGTAGACCAAGAGACGAGTGGGCCCCTCCTAAAAAAAAATCCTGGATCCGCCCCTGCAAGGACATAGCAGGACCGATGATTAGGAGTAATTTTCTACTAGATTTGCCTGTTTGCCCCTGAGAATTTACGTTGGGGGAAAGATTGCGGGAAAAAATAACAAAACCAAACAAACACTTTAAAACGGAATCCCTCAGGAAATTGAGTAAAAATTTTAGTTTTTAATAGACAACAACCTTGTGCCAGAATAATTGAAACAATATCGCATTCTTTATTACATTTTTCAATGGCTATAGATGTAATTAGTTTTCTGTAATAACACCAAAGAAAACTTCTCATGAGAGCCCGAGAAAACGAATGTCAAATTTCACAAAATGACATGTTACACATGAAATTTTCAGAATTTTAGCTGTGTTTTCACAATTCTTGTAAAATTTGAGATTTATTATCTCGGGCTCCCATGAGAAATAGTCTTTGATGTTATTACAGATAATGAATTATATCCATAGCTCTTTTAAAATGTAAAAAAGAATGCGGTACTGTTTAAATTATTCTGGTAGAGGTTTTTTTCCACCGAAAGTTGAAATTACTCAATTTCCTGATGGATTCCGTGTTAAATTCTAAGGCTTTTCATTTCTCCTAGTGCCTAGCTTCCTTTTTTATTTTTTTTTTCCATTGCTTTGATTTCGTACCAAGCGATCAACGATCGCGAGAGAAGTGAAGCTACGAACTTTTAGTCCCTATTTTGACACTCCGGAAAATTGCTCACAGCCTGCGATTTTTCCCTCTCTATTTCTCTATTTAGTATATACTAAAACAGTGGATAATGTTTTTCGCGCACTCTGATTGGCTACTCAATCAGTGAATTCACAACTCCTTTTGAAGACATTTCTCCGCAAGAGCTAAACAAATGCCCTCAAAGTTTTATTGGTCGACAAAAAAAAGGGACGGCTGCAGCCGTTCGGTCATTGCTCGCCAAATTGTAATCGTTGGCAATAATTAAGCAATCGTGCTTAATTATCTCTGGCCACTGTTTCAGTATATACTAAAACAAAATAGTATTCACGGAAGTGGAGGTGGCAAGGGGTGGATATTTACCTTTGCCGCTTTGTGTCTCGGTAAATGCACCACTAGCCACCTCCACTTCGGTGAATAATTGTCAGGTATATGTCCCTAAATAATAAAAGAAAATAACTAAATAACAATTTTGAAAACCGCAAGATCGTAGCTATAGATTAACAAAAAAAGGGATGCACCATCTGATTGATATTTTGGAACTGCGGATTGAAATCATTCTGGCTTGCATAACAATGAGGATTTTCAGGGGTTGAATTTGAGTGAGGGAGTTATTAACTTCTCGTAGTTTTTCTCTGGTTTCATTTTCTAACTCAGTTTGATATTTTCTTTGACAGTATGAATGGAATTTCCAAACCGACAAGACTTTCAAGGAAAAAACTTCTTCTGTTACAACAAGCTTTTGCTCTCAGAGCAGAGTAAAATGCGCATTAAAGGAAGCAAGGCGTAAAAGGTAATTATCATAAGTGGCCGAAAAGTTTCCATTCCAAAGTTTTCATTCTCTCTTTAAATTTATGATTTGAATAAAAATTTACTTGTTGAAAGTCTATAACACCCCTCTCTGAGATTCTCCTAAAGCACCATAGTGCAGGTTTCTCGGTAAATGGGCTCAGTTTCATAGTTCTCATTAATTTGCTAGGATGAAATCCTGACTGGGAAAATACAGTAGAATTTCGAGACAATTCAAACTGGAACTGTCTTCCCTTCCTGTGAAACACGCTAATTCCTTCCTCGATTTCTCGAACCCCCCGAAAATTATTTTTGCTTATCTTCGTTCATACTTGTATATAAAGGAGTAAACTATTTAGCTCTTAAAAGCCCATGCTCACCAACGTGACTTTGTGAGCTAGTGTTTTGGTTTTGAAACCCTTCCTTTGTCAAATTCAGCAGGTGTTTTGATTGGGCAGAGTGTTCGTTTTATTCACGCATGGCCGAAGCGTCACTCTACACAAACTGAAGGGAGAAACTTTCAACTTCGCGAAATTATTTTTCTGTAGTATAGGGCGAGCAAGGCCGCTTGGGTGAACATGGCCCTTTCTTTAAAGGCAACTGAATTATCCCTCGTTATAGCTTGAGTATCAGGCGTTTCTGATTCAGAAGGGGGAAGAGCGGAGCGAATGAGGAGAGAGCTAAAATCTCCTCTCCGGCAGCCCATAAGGACGACTTGCTACCCTCGTTATTGGTTAAAAATTAGAATAATAATATTAAATCCTTATATTCCTCTGTTTCATTAGTCAAGTATTTCGTTAAGGCCCGAATACGAAAATATATTTCCAAAAGAACATTGAATAGAAAATCAAAAACAGATTTGATGAGCGCTATCGAGTCTTTCCAAACGAGTCTCGTTTTTCCACGAGTCTCATATACAGAACGAGCCTTTCTAAAGGAGTCTCGTTTTCCGAAGGACTCGTTTTTTGAACGAGCCTCGTTTCAAGAACGAGGATCGTTTTTAAACGAGTCACGTCTTCGTGGCAGATCGAGTAGCCATTTTATCGTGACGATTTTTTTCGTAACCATCTAGATTGGTTTCCCAGAAACGGTGAGTGATCCGAGAAAAATAAGTCTCGTTGTAGTTTAACATGTCTCGTTTCTAAAACGAGTAATCGAGACAGGTGGCAACGAGTCTCGATTTCACGTTTTCGATTCGACCGCCGGAAACGTAATGTAGAGGCCATTAAATCGAGACGATTTTTATCGAGTACTTTACGATACCTTGCGCAGAAACGATGAGTGATCCGATATAATTGGCACAAAAATTCGAAAACCGTATTCGTACTCGATCTCTTGTACTCGTAGTTAGCCTTACAAGATCTTTAGTGGGTATAGGACTAAGCAAAGTTGTGAAGCGGGTTTAGGGATGCAAAGGGCCGGCTCCCGCGTCTTTCGCCTGCTTTTAACACAACGTTCTTTTTATCTAAGTTTTGGAGTGCTTAAAAAGTGATACGACATCAACAGGTCTTATATTTTGACACAAAGAACGGTAAACACAAAGAAAATCACAAACGATAACGTGTTTGTTATCTAAGGACAAAGTTTTCGTTTTTTTTTTTTTTTTTTTTTTTTGGCGTCCCTGTAATTTCTCCTTTACTGTTTTTTTTTTTTTTTTAATTTTTTTTTAAAAATTTGGCCGGAAACGCTTTTTTTCCATACATTTAAAAAAAAATTTTATTTCCACTTTTTTGTGTTTCCCCCCAACAGGGCCCTCGCCGCCCCCTCCCCCCCTGACATTTTTTTTTTTTTTTTTTTTTTTTTTGGCGTCTCTGTAATTTCTCCTTTACTGTTTTTTTTATTTGATTAATTTGTTTTTAAGAAGTTGGCGCGAAACGCTTTCTTCTCATACATGTAGAAAAATACTTCATTACTCGATTTGTCGGTTTCCCACCAGACGAGCCCTCGTCGACCTCTACACCGCTGACCAAGTTCAACTTCTCCCTGGTTACCCAAGGAACGCCTCAGGCTCCCTTCAGGTGGCATTTTACGTCCAGCAGCCAAGGGGTCTTTTCATTGGAAATGCGTCCATATTACCTGGAGAAACACTGGTCAACATTGTTAAAACATACAAGTCAGAGATGGAGACAGCCATCGGCGCCAACATTTCACGAGTTGAAGCGTTCATTCAATCCCTCTTGACAGCAACAACAACATCACCGACAACGCTACCGACAACGCTACCGACAAAAGTGCCAGACAGCAATGATACCACCAAGTGGATTGCTATTGGTGTGGGAATTGGGGTGTTTGTCTTGATTTGTTTTATTTTGCTCGTAACTTTATGGTAAGTTGCTTTGAAATTCATCGGCAATAGCCCGAACATTCGATAAAAACCAAATCTCATTCAAACTAACTAGATATATACATAGTTTCTCTCGTTTGGCCAGGTTATAGAACTTTCGATAACTCTAAAACCTTGGCACAAATATTAGGGACTATTTTATAACTGAATTCAAAATTGAGAAAAGTAAGTAAGTAGTTTATTTATACACGTAAACACCTAAGAGTTAACAATAACTCGTTCGAACGTGCACGTAAAAAGTGAGAAATTTTTCCTTTGAAATACGTATTTTTGTGGCATATTTGTGAAATGTAACTTGTTCTGCAAAGCAATGAAATGAAGTAAGGCTCGGGATTTATTATTAATGACAGCCGCTATTATTTAAGCAGAAGGTGCAACGATATTGCAATTCCGGTGTCCTTTTTTGGGCGTGAGTCCAATGTGTAATGTCTTTTTGCCTGAAATAATTATTCCGAGTGCAAGAGATCTTATGAAACCAAGTTGGCTTGATTTGCTTTACTGGGTAGAGCACTGCAACCGGTCATTGACAAAATGTCACAGCTCGAATTCCAGCCAAGCTAATTTTTCTGGCTACTTGTTATCCACTGCATGAAAAAAACAGCGCCTACTAACATCTTCCTTCTGTACTATTATGCTATTAATAACTTTTTGTCTGTAATCATCGCCACCATCATCATCATCATCGTCATCTACAATATCATTATTATTCATTCAAAATATTTCCCCGATTCTGATTGGCTAAAAGCACACGTTTAATTCACCATAACCACTTACTGATGACCAAATTTGGAAGAATTTTGACTTTAACGAGGAAATGACGTCAAAAATGCAGCGTTTTCGCAGATTAAGGCACCGTTAACCGAGAAGACCTGGTGACGAGGTTGAGTTGTTTTGGTTGTGAACTTGAAAAAATGGCGGAAATTTTTTCACTCGTTTCAAGAGTAAGAACTAGTCGGAAAAATAGCAAAAACATGGCAAGAACAGCAAGAAGACAAGTCGAAGGGAGACATCTGCTATTTGGAGAATATTTGCGGAGCTGGACAAACCTAAACGTACACTATCGAAGATGAACTGATCATCGATGGATCGATGGAGGTAAGCATGTTTTAGCTATGTTTTTAAACAAGGAATTATTTTGAATGAATAATAAAACAGTTATTGAATTCGGCTTTCGTATTATATGAAGACTTATGGAGATCTCGGAGGGTGTTATCCGCCTCGGCCTACGGCCTCGACAGATAACACCCTCCTCGATCTCCATAATTCTTCATAAGATACTCAGCCTCATTCATTAACTGTTAATTATCATCATCATCATCGTCATCTCGCTATTACTTCCAGTTGTTTATGAATTATTTATTAATAGAATTAAGTCCTTTCCTTTCTCTTTTACTTTAGGTTAAAGAAGAAGAAAAACGAGAACATTGCGGTCTTACCTGACAAATCGCTGAGCATGGAAAGTCTCAAGAGAGCCAGCATGGGCCTTGACAACGCTACACACACTTAAGCATTCACGGCGTAGCTTGGCACCCTCAAAACTGATACTTTAGTTAAAACATTTCTTCTTTAGGAGGGGCATTTGGAAAGGCCTGCCTTGAAAAGTTCAAATGCCAGGGGGGTTTCCCGGACCGGGGGGGAAATTAAAATTTCGAATTGACTGGCTTATTACTTTATCACATTATTAGACTACATCGAGCGCAAAATATCGGCAAAGCTCAGTATGCTTCGTAAAGGGTGCAAGATCATTCCGCGTAAGTCGTGTGTAACGCTTTATAACGCCATGATATTTCCAGTACCCGACTATTGCGCTGTCGTATGGGACTCCTGTGGTAAGACTGGCCGAGAGTACTTATAGATAAGCTGCAAAGGCGTGCCTCCTGTATTATTGAAGCTACACAAATATCTCGCACATTCGGTTGGCCTACGCTCGAGTCCCGCCGGAACTATCTTAAGGTCATGCTAGTATTAATGAGCCTTCATGACATGGCTCCAGCATATTTACTTAATGAATTTAGCCACTCGCGCGATTTCCATTTATACAACAAGTGCCATAGAGATTTGCTCCGTCTGCTGCTTGCGAGGACAACTAAGTACCAGGGCTCCTTCAGGTTCAGCAGAGCCAAGATCTGGAACACGCTTCTTTTGGACCTGACGAGGGAGCATGATATTAATAAGTTTGCGTTTGGCCTAAAAGGCATTTTAGATCCAAGCCTAACTGAGCCTCTCTTGCTTTTGTTATACTTAGTTGTACCATTTTTTATCTTTACTGATTTGTCCTGTGTGTTGTTTTTTCTTTTTCATCAGGGCCCAACTAGAAGCAGCCTCGCTAAACTGGCCGGGCACCCCTGACTAAATATTGTTTAATTAAAATAAATAAAATAGTTAATTAAAGTAAACCATATTTCGAGGAATCCGAGCCAGATGATATTGCCCTTGTTTACCCCGTCCCTACTGAAACGTATAGCCTTTGAAATTATTTCAGTACCTTTAAATAACTCTTTCGCGGCAATGATAACATTCCCGACAAGCACGCAAAACTTTTTTACATTGAACAATGGCGAAATATCGTTAAATTTATTGGTTGCAAAAACTCACGCTTTCTCCACATAAATACCTGCAAGTCATTTCTCACACCGTTGCTTTATTCAAGTTCCCGGGTGTAGACTAAAGCGATCAGCAGACCAGCGTAGAATTTGCTTTCAAACCAGAAAAACCGATAGATAGTAATGTTCCTATAACGTATCCTCTGGGGCCAAAAACTGATTACCGCCCCAAAAACCGCGAGCAGTCGTCCTCCTTTCCTCAAACCCACGTAAAGCAAAGTAATATTATGCAAATGAATGGAAAAAACGAGGAGCGATTAAGGTTCTTGTGCCCTCGTTCCTCGCGGCTTCTCCGCTCCCTTATTACGCGTGCTTTATTGATCTACTGTCTTAAAAAAAAAATACGAGGCTGCTCGCTCGTGGTCAAGAGAAAAGTGCACAATATCGTTAACTTTCAGTCTCAGCCCGGATCAGGGTGATTGATCCTTTTAGCCGTATGAAACAAGAGTACGATAAGATTACGGTATCGAGATTTTTTTTTTTTTTTTCCAAGCGGTATTTCGGTAATTTTGATTTTAAAGTACGGTATTACGGTATCATTTAGCCCTGCGGTATGCACTTTTTCATCCTTCTGGCTAACGGTATTCGGTAAAAGGAGATCCTTCTCGCTATTGCGGTACTGTTCATTGCGCTCTCCTGTCTAACGCTCGTCAGTATTTTTAAGACTTTAGAGTACTAACGGTAAATGATTACTCAATTTCTGTTAGTTAATCTGTGATTAAATTCGTAGGGCATCCTTTTCGATCGTTGTACCGATCAATTGGAGATCTTCTCACGTTTCCTCGCAATAGCTGGGGTTGATTGCTGGTGCATAATTGCTTGAGATAAACAAATACGAGAGACGGATACAACTTTAAGTAAGCGTGACCAATCATGATTGCGGTGTCGCTAATTCGACGATTTTTGGACACGGTGTTGGGTACCCCCCAGACTCTGCAAGGTCGTATTAGCTTTCCCCCTTCTCAGGACTTCTTGATGTTTTCAGGGAAACTTTCTTCGAGGCGGCCGAAAAACCCCTAAAATAACCCACCACGAAAGCCGAAATCAGTTTAAAGCGCGCTGATTTCAAATATATAGAACATGTACAGAGACAATAATTTTCATTCACGAAGACAAGTCTTTAGAGTAAAGTGTCTCTGAAAATCATGAGTCAAGTAAGCATAAGCCTATTTATGTTGTTTTAATCCGGCTTCCCGGTGTTTGCTCTTTTTCAAGATGAACTCGAGGCAAGAAAATCGCTCAGAGCTTTCTGTTTACGGCCAAAATCATAACTAAATATTCTTCGGAACCTTTTAATTTCTTTGAATTTGCGGTCAAAAAATGCCTAAAGGCTTTTAAACCTGATACTATTATAGGTTAGATCATTCTCACTCGCGTATGAACTTTTAAGTTAAAAGCCGCGTAAACCAGCGTAAACCATACGCTCGACTTCAGGAAACCGAAAAAAAAAGTTATTAGGATATTTTGTCCCGCGGCGAGAAGTGCATTACCATAAACTGAGCGTTGGCAGGAAAGACTAGTCCAGGGCGGCATGCTTCTTATTCTGAAACACGTTTGAGACACCGGACAGCAGTAGCGCAGAAATCATGTTAAAGCTTTTTGTTTAAATACTAAAGTGGTCGGTAAGGTTGAAATCACGGTGGGCCCATAGCATTGCCATAGGACGCAAAAAGCTGCAATCTTTGACTGGCCACAACTCGATTTCAAATCCTTGGGGATATGAATAAACGAAGACGGCCCGTGCAATAGTCAAAAGGGGCGCGCGGGCACCGAAGGACCCCTTCCCCTTCCCCAGATTCCCCTCTGGGTAATTAGCCTATGAACACTGAGGTCCCCAAACAGGTAGCAGGCAGGCCACAACTTCAGACAACTTTCGCCAAAAGTTCGTACGTAGCCCTGCTTCATTCGCCTGGGTAGCAGGGTAAGAAATGAATGCGTGACAAACGAACCACAAAGGACGTCTGCGGGGAGCCTGTTCACAGGCTACAGGGTAACTTTTCGGCCGGCCGGGTCTAGTTCTCAGGTCCCGCTCGTGAATTTCATTCTCAGAAGTGTGTATGTTGAAGATTATACTGTGATGAAAATATCAGGTTGTGTGGCGATAGTGACAGGTGGAGCTTCAGGGATAGGACGTGGACTTTGTGACGTACTGCTGCAGCGTAACGCCAAGGTAAGCTTATTTATTTCGTTGGATAACCGCGAACGAATGAAGCAGGGCTACGTACGAACTTTTGGCGAAAGTTGCCTGAAGTCTCTGCTTCAAAGCGGGGGTAACTGCGAAGCAATGGATTTGAAAATGATGTTTTATTTATTATTCCTATGCAAATAAAACTCATGGGTATCCGATCTAGCTGGTAGTGATAGTGACTTGTACTGTTAAATAGCGAAATTACGGATTCCTTGTGTTTAAAGCTAAGACTTTCAGTCTTGTTGAAATCGGGCATTGCAAGTTCTAGCTCCCGTCCCTCCTCCCTGGGGGAACTGCCCTAAGTTTTGCATCAGAGTGTCCCCCCCCCCCACCCCTTTGATAAAAAGCTGGCTTTTGCAAAACATCGAGCAGTAGCATGGTTCTCAAATAAAGTAAACAGCCTTAGCCAGGGGGGGCATACCAAGCCTTTTTGCATTCTGAATAGGGTTCTCACTTGTCTTCTTGATACTTGTGTAAAATGATGGTAGTTAATTGACAAAAGTCAACATTGACTTCCTTAGATCATCAATTTTGATTGATTTTTGTAAGCAAGTGATCCATTGCCTCCTTTGTTTCCATGCAATCACTCGCTCTAGCTCTGTTATCCACATGATTGTAAACATCAAAAATAACGTCAGAAATGACTCGACTTTGTTGTTTTTTTTTTCTCTCTAAAAGTCCAGGCAGCCATGTGATTTCCTGCCAAATAAAACCTTGAGTTACATTTGGGTTGCCATACCTGTTGATTGAGTTATTTTACATTGGTGTGCCTGTGGTGTGGATGAATGGGTCGGTGGGCAAAAGTATGGTCACTTGACTGCCAAAATTTCTCAGATGCATAGGTCACCAAATTTTCTTACCCATGGTGCTCTGCCATGTACGCTTCACGCCCACGAGAGCTCTGCTAAAAAATGACTGAGGATTGGTTGATTTGTGTAAATAAAGTGTCCATTGTTTAGTTATGTTCACATGGCACGAGAGGAATTTTCAAACTTGCTGATAAATATGACCAGACACTTCATTCACATTTTTTTGACACAGAAGTTGAATGGTAGGTATTGAAATGTTTGCACTGTTCCGGTGGTTCCGTGTGAATGGAACAAATCTGCACAAATTTTCAACACCCAGACAAAAATTTATCCAGTGCTGTGTGAACATGTATATAATCTCACTATAGCAGTCAACTGCAGAAAGATTTTCACAAAAATTTTACACAAGTTAAGAGAAAGGGGGGATCTGGATCCCCTTTAACACTCCCAGGGGTTTCAATAAGCACTGCCGGCCGAGGAAACGCGTCGGCTACTTTGCTCATAGAGGTCGGCTATCATAAAATCTGAATGTAAACGTAATTATGATGTGTTTTCCTAAAGGCCCACTGGTTTCACATTATGCTTTAGTCATTTGAAGGCTACTTTTTCAGTCATTTTTTCACAAGTTTCTTTATAGGTTTATGCAGAATCTGTTTATGTGCAAAAGTACGTAATTTAGTTTTCACCAATTGTTCATTGCTTGTAGGAATTGATTGTGTGACTGATATTGATAAATTGAAAGCTACATTTTTTTTGAATGAAGAACAGGCTCTTTTGTCCTCAATTGCATTCCCCAGAATGCTGAAAATCACATTTTAGGGCTTTAAGATTTCAAAATTTTCTGTGTTAGAACATGCCCAGACTGCCCCCCCCTCCCCTAACCCCCCCCTCAAACTGCTGGCTACTTAAATTTTTATTGAAACCTGTGCTCTCCCCTGGGTATGCCCCTTCAGGCTGCCCTCCCTGAATCTCTGTTTATGACTTCACTCTGAATTGATTCCTCATAATTTTATGGTTTACAAGGAAATATCATGTTTTGTCGGGCCCTAAAATTATTATATAAGAGAAAAACGTCAGGTGGGTTTCTTTACTTAAATTCAAATGTGGATTTTTTTTAATAGAAGAAGGATAATTTTCCCAGTAGAATTGCAGAGACTCAAAATTAGCCAAAATGAAATATTTGCTGAGCTCTGTTCACAAATTAAGGCAATAATTAAACACATGATGGAATAAAATGGCTATGTGAACATTTAACACATAGACGGTTTATTAAACTCAGAATATCAGATCAAAATATAAATTTATACAAACTCTTACTAAACACCTATTGACTGCAAAGGTGTCAGGGCAATCAAACTGCAACAACACTTAAACATCACCACTGAACAAGAAAAAAGGCAGGAGCTAGGTCGATGGAAAAAGTTTGTGTGTTGATGAAATCAAAACCCAACATTCATAATTTATACGAAGATTCATGACTACAACGTTGACTACGACATTGTTTGTGCACGTAATGGCGGATTCAAAATTCAAAACGTTATCCTTGGTACCATGCTCCCAACTTCTCCTCATGCATTGGCAAATCATTAATTAAATGCATGGTTCAGCTGTTGCATATAAAATTTTTTTTGATCAAATAATATATTTGTTACTTGATCCAAATAGCAAATATGATCCACAGCTGAGGTGGAGTTCTTAATCCAAAACTGAATACTTTAGATACATGATACATGAGGTGCTTCTTTTATTACTATGGATCCGAAAAGGGTGAAAATTATTCAGCCAGCTGTAAGGGACCGGTCATAAAGTACAGGTGGGGGTGGGCTATGAAAAATTGGGGGCAGGCAACTATTTTTTGACACATTAAAAAGGGTGGGTCAGGAAAAATAATGCACTGCATCAGGGTTGGGTCATGTTAAATTATTCACATATCACTACAAATGTTAGTAAAATCTTTTTTAACAATGAATCTAATTTTCCACATTAATCCAACTTTATATGACAACAGGAATTCACATATTAAATATTTTGTTTCTATTTATGTACACTCTTTAAATCTGAAGAGTAGTCACTCGGGAAACTTTTTATAGTATAAAATCTAGAACAAAGCTTTACTGTGTGTTCATAAACCTAACTTATGTTAACATCTTTTTTAATGTCTTCTTCTAATCATCTTTAGTCATCTTTCACCATTACCATCACCCTCAGAAGCATTACCATCCTCCACCTCCTCCTCATTGTCATCATCATCATCATCATCAATATCATCTATAGCACTCAATACAACTGGTGACACGTTTGCTCTGATTGCTTCAATAGCATCCACTGTAAATTTACCTTTACTTATTGAAAGGTTTTAATCACCTACCATCTTTCTTTGTTAAGTTGTTAAGGCCTATCACACTACAATGATCGGAGGTTATAACTTCACCATAAGATGATGAGTGACTGATTGCAGAGAACACTCTCTCACAATTTTTCTCTGCTCTTTTATGGCGTCGCTTCCCAGCTATTGCTTTATTTTCTTTCACTCTTCTCCTTTTCGAGACGAATGTTTCTTTTGCAAAAGGATACATTCTCTTGTGTTTTTCTTTTTGGGCCTCTGTCCTCATCAAAGTCTGGTCAATGTTACTTTGGAATTCTGCAATCATTCCCAAGCATTTTTCATTGAAGCGTTGCCCACACTCTTGCCCACTGATGATTTTCCCAGACTTTTTAATAAACCACTGGGCATTCTCTTTCTGAATACTACTCTTCAGCTTCTCAGATTTCTCTTTCCAATCCTGAAGTTTTTTAATCTTGTGATTAATTGCTTGGGGTTCAGTAGGCTTTAAGGGTTCCTCTTCTGAATCGCCTTCTGGGATTGCTGCTTGCAATGACATAGCTGACAGCTGGCAGTGAAGGTCATACTAATGTACCTATCCACATCAGCGTTATTGGTTTTGGTTGGGGGGTGGGCCACTGAAAACCAGTACTCACAAAAAAAATTTTCATAGCCCACCCCCCCCCCCCGTACTTTATGACCGGTCCCTAACTATTACTATATAGAAACAGTTTTGATTTATACATCAGTACTTTGTCTTTATAATTGTGACAGATCAAAATTAAATTCAGGTTATAATTGTTTAACTTAGGTTGACTCTAATGTCATCTCCTAGCCCTAATTCATGCATAATTAGGGCTAGAAGACAAAGGGAATTGGGAATCAACCTAGGTTGAAAAAATTTAACCTGAATACTATTTTAGCCAGTTACATTACTATGCTGCTCATTTCAAACCTGAGACAATTTGTGTTAAATGCATCTAAAACNCCACATCAGCGTTATTGGTTTTGGTTGGGGGGTGGGCCACTGAAAACCAGTACTCACAAAAAAAATTTTCATAGCCCACCCCCCCCCCTGTACTTTATGACCGGTCCCTAACTATTACTATATAGAAACAGTTTTGATTTATACATCAGTACTTTGTCTTTATAATTGTGACAGATCAAAATTAAATTCAGGTTATAATTGTTTAACTTAGGTTGACTCTAATGTCATCTCCTAGCCCTAATTCATGCATAATTAGGGCTAGAAGACAAAGGGAATTGGGAATCAACCTAGGTTGAAAAAATTTAACCTGAATACTATTTTAGCCAGTTACATTACTATGCTGCTCATTTCAAACCTGAGACAATTTGTGTTAAATGCATCTAAAACTCAATAATACTTCATAACTCAGTGGGTGTAAAACTGCATGATAGTACAAAACAAAGCCAAAAAATTGTTAGTTATGACATCATCATATTGATGGCAAGGAGAGGGGTGCTTGTTTGATATGGCTTAGGTAGTGGGGCCACCAGAGTGCGGGGCCACTTCATTTGTTGAGAAAATTATAGTTATAATAATACTTTCTATATTTTGATTTAGGTTGCTATTGTTGACCTCAATGAAGAAAGAGGCAAGGAAGTAGAGAGAATATTCAGTGAATCTTATGGAACAGGGTGTGCAAGGTTCATTAGATGCGATGTTTCCATTGAGGATGAATTGAAAGGTTTTATATGATTTTCTTACAATTTAGTAATAAAATCAGTATAGCACATGTTTTAGGTGATCAGTTCAGACACTAACTGTGCAAATTCCATCAAGAAGGGGCCAATTTAATAAATCTTTTACAAAGGTTAGTGTAATAAATATTTACAAGTCTGGCTGCTATTGTTTTTGTACTCTAAAACAATAGCTACACTTGTGAATTACACTGGTAAAAGTTTCTTTGGTTTGACCCCCAATTATAATATGTAATATAAGGTAACTCAAATGTAATCAGTTGATGGTATTAAACACTGGGAAATTGACCCGATGGTTAATATCCAGATCTTTGAGCAAGTTTGTCAGGACCGTTGCAGTTTCTTGAAACATTTTAATATTTACTTATTGCTACTTTTCCCTCTCCTTAATGAAGACTTAATGGGATGCTAGTGCATGCTAGCAGTGCATGTCTTAAAATGCATGTGCAGAGAGAACAGTTTAGATAAACAAAGGTGAATAGAACTTCAACTTGACAGAATTAAATAACAATTATTAATAATAACAATAATAATAGTAATAAAAATAGTAATAATGAGTTGATATAAATAACTATGACTTTGTCATGTAATAATTTCCTTGCATTCCACAGCGTGCATGCTGAACTTCATCATTATTATTATTATTATTATTATTATTATTATTATTATTATTATTATTATTATTATTATTATTATTATTATTATCATTATTATAGAGGCCTTCTCAAGAATTCTTTCTTTGTGGGGAAGACTCGACATTGTTTGCAACAATGCAGCTGTTCTTGATGAAGATGATTGGAATAAAACTCTAAATACAAACTTGGTAAGTTTAATTGTTCTTTTTATAGCTGCATTTCCATTGCAAAGCAAAAACAGCATACCCATCAGCCATGTCCCGTACTATCTCCCTTTTCAGTCAGTCAAATAACTGCATGGTCGTCAACTTATTAAAACTGAGTCTGCCACAGCCTATTTTGAGACACTTTACTGAAGTCGTCAAGGCAAACAAAATTAATAAACATTTCCACTGTAAGCCAGTGACAACCTGTAGGAAGAGACTGGGTGCAGAATTGTCTAATATATAGATTTAGCCAGGGCTAAAAGCGAAGCTCCTATTAACTCGAATTTATAATTTAAATCGAACAATAAACTTGCAATTGTATTCCACAAATCAGTTAACTTTACAGCACATTCATGTGACTTTTGAGGGAAAGGCTAAGTTATGTTGGAGAAAAATAATTTGCAAACAGTCCAAGCTAAGAGTGAACTTAATCTTAGATCGAGTTGATAGCCTTTATATACGTACACCCAAAGAATAGCAATCATCTTCGATCACATTTAAGAGCCATAATGGCTCTTGATCACAGTAGATCAGGCCTGGAAAACAAATTCTTGGAAAACAAATCAGGCCAATTTTTTTGCGTTCGACAAGTTTATAATTTACTTTACAAAATCTTGCCAACAAGTCTGGGGACGTGTAAACCAGCCTTTTATACTTTTTATACATCACATCTGTGGTGAAACAGTACCATGAGGCGCTGTTTTTATCATACAGACCTCGGACAGAATGCAGTATTTCACAATTTTGCAATACAAATTGCACTCACTCCCCGGACTCACTCGAGATTCAGGACGATCGAAGCACGCGTGTGCTTTTACTAAAAAAAATTCCAAAATCACCTACATATACGGCTAGCCGGTTCTCACTTTTGACAAGCGCCAAAGTCGACTGTTTAAATCAAGATTAATAGAGTAATACGCTTCAACGTGATAAAGAATTTGTTGTGTAATCTTCTTCGTTTGATACGCGCGGCATTTTGAGTACTCCTGCAAGCGATGTTCGTGAGCGACTGAAAACAAACGGGGCAGCGATTAAAATTACAAAAGAGACCACTAAAAATCAATAAAAGGAAAATAATTCGGTGAAACATATACAGAGACAACAATTTTCATTTACGAAGGCAAGTATTAAAGCGTCTCTGAAAATCCTTGCTTATGTTTTAAGCCGCCTTCCCGGTGTTTGCTTTTTTCAAAGATGAACTCGAGGCAAGAAAATTGCTCAAAGGTTTCTTTTACAGCCAGAATTATAGCTAAATATTCTTTGAAACGTTTTCTTTCTGTTTGCGGTGAGAAAATGTCTAAAGGCTTTTTAAAGTTCTATAAGCTTATAATCAAACCTGGTACTCGGTCAGATCATTGTCTCAAATTTTACAAACGTGCATAAACTAAATAGCCGCATAAACTGCGCCCGACTTCATTAAATTAGATATAAAAAAACAAACACCAAATACAATAATTACGCAGGCTTATCATTCGAGATGCACTGAAAACGATCAAGTAAGGCCAGAATCGCTTCAGACTTTTCAACCCTCTTATGCATCAAGCAAGGTGAAAAACGAAAACGATGCCATCCGAAATCAGATTTCCGACTTTGACAAGCGACGTATTTCTCAACCAAAACCCCAATAAACAAACTAGCTGTGAATAACAGAAAACTCTTGAAACTTCTTGATAGCAGCAGAATTTCATTTTGTACATCCAGTGGAAAAAGACAGTTAAAAACATCACAAGCTGACACAAAACTCTGTCAGCTTCAGCTCTCAAAGTAAACAAGTTTCAAGATGCTGCATAAATTTTCCGCATGAACTCACCTGTCAAATTTTGACCAATCAGAGCATAAGAATTGGACGTAGAGCGTGACCAGCGCGTGACCTTGGTGAGAAAAGTCAAAAGCAACTGGCATGTCTTCCAGGCCCGTAAAAACTGGCTGAATTCTAGCTTCCGAGGTCAGTTTGAAATCAAAATTTAAATTGTGCGGCACATACAAAACACAACATATTTCATATGAATGAAAAAAAAATAAACTTGAGCCTGCGATCGATTGAAAACTAGTAACTTGTCAGCGGATAACTTCAAAAAGATACTCGACCTCGATGGGTCGACACCTGAGCCCGCGATATGGTCAGGTGATACTGATCAGCGGAAACCCTATTTTGACAGCTGTCAATTGATCACAACATTGATGTACAATGTGTGGGCAATATCAGTCTTCCTGTGCTCCCAAACTAGCTAGAAATTGTGAGATTAAACATTCGTTGCCCTGTAGCGCGGACGGACGGGCGGTGTACGGTCACGTGATTACCAAATTTTCTGGGATGGGTAGATTTACTTACCCATGGTGCTCCGCAGGTGCGCTTCGCGCGCCAGAGCTTCGCTAGGAACTATTTGAATTCCATAAGGTTTCAGTATACCAGTCTTCACTCTTTTTAACACTTTTCTTTTTACTCGTGAATCCTCACTGAGATCCTACAATACCGACTTCAAAAAGAGGGCATTAATAGATTGCTAGTCAGTGCTTGACTGCTTTCCTAATTCAGAAATCCAGGCACTATTCAGAAAAGAACAGTGCACGCTAGGCGTAGTAGGACTCTGTATCACGTAGTACGCAGAAAGGAAGGGAGTAACTCCTTGAAGATGTCATCTTTGTAGGCTACAGCAGCTAGACTTACAAGGTCTGGCCCATTTTTTGCTGATCCTGTTGTTACCAAACTTATCAACCTATTGTTGCGCAGGTAACCCATTTTCCCTGAAGATAAAAATTCATGTCTTGGTCGTTTTTAGCCTGAATTTCATCCAATTACTTCGAGTCGTTAATACTCCCTCAGTAACGTCTGAATCGACCGGCCGTTAATGCCGTGCAATGACGTCACTTCTCCTGTGCTTTAATTCTGTTCATACAAAAAGTAAAACACGATTTTCAAGTGGCAAACCAAGAAAATCGTTGTACATATCGTTATAGCGGAGCTCTCGCGCACGAAGCGCGCCAGCGGAGCACCATGGGTGAGAAAATGAAGTAATCTACCCATTCGAGAAAATTTGGTAACCACGTGAACGTAAACCGAGCGCGCGAGCCACCGTCCGTCCGCACCACAGGCATACCAATGTAAAATAACTCAATCAACAGGTATAGCAACCCAAATGCAACTGGAGGTTATTTTGGCGGGAAATCCCATAGCCACCGGCGTCTTGTAAAGCAGAGATAACTAAAGAGTCAATAAAGACGAAAACGGAAAGCGGAAATTGTTTCTGTATCCGTGTTGTCTAAAGTATTTAGCTTAGATTAATAGTCATGTTCGCAAATTTGGAATATAGAGCAGTAGAAAGACAGAGAAAAAGAGAAAGTAGGCGGCAAGATCAACGAGAAAAAGGGCGACAGAGATCTAGAGCGAGAGATAGAAAACAAATGAGACAATTTTTTGTTGAATGAACAACATGAAAATTTTGAAAAATGAGAAATGCTAGCCGCCACCATTGCAAGGTGAAAATGAGCAGCAGTGAAAAAAAGGGAACGAGAACATGTATGATATTCCCTCCGTAACACGTGTTACTAAGAAGTTTCTGGAAGTTTCACTTTATAGTCATGCAAAACTACGGCAAAGAAATGAACAAAAAAAGTGTGCTGCGCGTGTAAAGTTTTTTTCTTTTTTGGCTAATTAGACCTATTGTTGTTTTTCACCGTTCTCTGGAATTGCCTTCGCCGCTTAGCATTACACGATTTTACATTTTGTTTGAACAAACTATAAATATTATTGAGAGCTTCGCTTTTAGCCCTGGCTAAATCTATATATTACATGATACAGAATTTCTTTACTCTTTTCGATCATAGAATTCGTGTTCAACGTTCAAACTATTAATACATGCAGTACTCTGAACCCGTTGTGATTCAATAATCATATTCGGTCGCAATCATGCAATGAAATAAATACACACACGGAACACTTAGTTAAAAAGGAGAAATATTTGTTTTAATTGAAAAGAAGCTATTTAGTCCTTAACGAGGAAAAAAAAAACAAAGAAACAAGGAAGAAAAGCTAACAGAATCATTACACTGGACAGTGAAAATAGCAAAATGGTCGAATTATAACTGTTGCATTGATCTCATAAGACTTCGCAGAGGGTAGCAAAGGGAAGTTCATGATCCCGTTTCACGTACAAATTTTGACAAATTTCACGTATCACGTGGGTTATAAACCGATTTTCACGAGTCATGAATGTCACCTGCTAATCAAAGTTGTTAAGAACCGAAACACAGCCATCATGGACCCCAATTCGCATTTTATTTGACGATCAGAATGTCGGTGGGGCGATCTTAAAGGGCGTTAACGAGCAGTCATGGATGTGGGAAACTCGTGTTTCCAGGCATGCGTTCAAATTGAAAACACGTTAACGCCCCCGATGTGACTTTTTTTTTTTAACAAGCTAGCGACTGAAGCCTCTGTGGCAAGCGAAGGTTAGTTTTTTGGTTAGTTTTACTCCTTTTCTCCCTTCGAGCGCGCGTGTGCCCTAGAAATTTCTCCCTTCGCCCTAACAAAACTGGTGCCTTATTCTGTGCAAGCTACAGCGAGTGTGACCTCCGAGGCCTTTCGTTAGGGTAATTCACTCGTTTTAACACGAAAACGAAGCAACAAGAGGATTGCCGAAGTGGACAATACTTAATCCCAAAGGTCACTGTTAGGGTCTGGTCTTTAGGTAGTATTTATCAACCATGACAAATGTAACGCAAATATTAAAACCAACGGCTCTGTTTAATTTATCTGTCCTATATCATTGATTTTTACGAAATGCGACAAATTATTCACCAGTCCCGCGCATGTTATAAGATAAATCACACTTCACATGCATAACTGGTTTCACGGATCACGTTCCTTTTTTGGGAACTTTCACGCGTCACTCTCTCAGCTACTCTCTTCGCATAAACAAAATCACCGCGGAAACCACTAAGCGGTTCTAAATGAAAAACCTACCGACTCGCCGCAACGATTCTTCATTCGCAGTTCAATTTAGCGATTCAGTTTCGAAGACAAAGGCAATTTTTCTGTTTACGGTATTAAAAGATTATCGAAATGTTTGAACTCCACGCAAGAATACCAGGGATGCGATCCGCTGAATATCAACGACAATCGCGCTAAAATTTATCATAATTATGCGAATGTTTAGATAATCAACCAATCAAAATCACTACCCGGTTTTCGGGTAGTGATGTCACTGGACGGCATTAACGGCCGGTCGCCTCAGACGTTGCTGAGAGGAGAAAACGACTCGAAGCAATCGGATGAAATTCAGGGTAGGTCATTTTAGGCGTTACTACATTTGTATACAAAACCATCAGGAGGGTTCTCTAGAAGCACCAGCGAACACCAAAAATCACCATCTATATAGTCATCACGGAAAGGGCCAACTACTCACAGAAAATATTATTTTAAAGGAGAATAAAAAATCGACTGTGTGTTGTATAATTATTTTGTTTCTCGACACTTTGTTTGATGAAAAGAGATGCTTAATACAAAATGAAGCAAAATTGATGTGGGTAAAAAAAGGCGGCATCCTCATGGCTAAAATTCTTTCCTTGGTCGCTTGAAGTTCACTAAAATGAAAGTTTTAGGGGCCCCCACATTAAAAATTACCATGGGGGTATCCCTAGATTCCTCCAATGGAAAGGAGCTGACCCCTTCTTGCATATCTACCTCTACATGTGCATGAATGCCTTTCAATCTTATCAGATGGGACCCTGATCGTATCTATCGCCTGACTCCCGGTGTGGGCTTACAAGTTGCCTACTGAACATCAGTTTAACTGTCACCAAAACAGTCTTGTGCTGTTCATGCTGTTTACGGTAATTAACTGGGACCAGTTGCAAAAAACCTGAAGTATACCTCCCAACTTTTCCCATGTAAAATGCGACTGATTTTGATATTCATGTTTAACTGAATTTCTGAAACAGCCTGACAGCTTTGGAACAGTTCCGAAGACATTCCGACGTCTTCCGAACATTACCGAAGATGTTCCGATGATTTTCGAAGGTCACCGAATGCAGCGCTTAGAAGCGTCAAATTTCGGCACCATCTTGCCGAGATCACGTATATCTTAATACCGAGAGGAGGTATCGTGAGACGTTAACTTATTGCTTAGAGCTCAAATGTGACATGTAGCGCCGTTCACTGGGTTATTTTGGGTGGTGATTGACTTCATTTTTTCACGTTTAAGGTCACTGAACAAGTAGTCCACAAATATGAGTCTGCTCAAGTTTGGAGTTAAAATAAGGGGTTTGACTGAGCTGAATGTTACGTTTTCTGCAACTCGCCCCAGAAAAGTTGTTACTCCAAGTTGGATTCGTATTTTACTGATGTCTACCTCTTTTTGTTGGCAAAAATATTTAGGGTGGTGCCATTCATGGAACTCTCCTTGGTCTGGAACACATGAAGAGTGGATCTGTCATAATAAACACATCATCAACTGCAGGTACAGATCAGTGTGGAACCAACCGACTTCACTGAACTGAACTGAACTTAGAAGAAGGGAAGATTTTAAAAGGAAGGTGTCATATATACTGTTACAGTGGAACCTGTATAAGCTCGGTATAAAGTTACCCCGCCCCCCCCCTCCTTAAATTAAGGGGGCAGTTTTCACGTTTTCACGTTGGTCTTTCTTTATTGAGATTTTTCCTGCGTTCGTCTTTGTTACTTTTACCGCGCGTTGGCCGGAGAACTACAACTTCAAGTCTTAGAAAATACAGTGAATGTTCTCTATTTTTTTGATTTAGTGAACTAGACTACAATAATTTATGCTACCTGTAATATTTCATAATGTCATGTTTATTCCACCGTTACAGTTTCAAGCCAGCAACTTTGTTGAAAATATACTTATATTAACATTCACTTCACTGATAAGCGATTGGTGAGAATTCTTGTCGAGCCCCCGGCCTCATGATATTGTCAAGTCGTAATATGTGCAAGTTTACAGCATTAAGTGCCGTTTACCTTTCCGCATTCAGGTCAGGTTTTAAAAACGTTTGTAAGAAATGCAATAAGAACCTTCAGCTTACAAAAAATTCGAATTGTAAGGCGTGGGGCTTGTAATTGAGTTAACAAGTCCGTCGAGAAACGATCCCCTGGATTATTTTTTAGTCAATGGATACTGGCAAGGAATAATTACAATAAAGAAAAACACTAACGACGAGCGAAATTATCAGTACATTTAACTATTATGTCATATCTTGATCTTTAGTTCATGACTTTGTTGCTTTGATAGGCCTTTCGGCGTGGAAACTTGCTCCTGTGTACTGTGCCACAAAGCACGGGATTGTAGCCTTTACTAGAAGTATTTCAAATGTGAGTGTTTCTCTGAAATATTGTGACAGAACATTCTTTTTCTTTTAGAGTAATTAGGCCCAGTGCAGACGTCGTGCTTCTGCCGTGCCGAACTAAATTCAGGAATGAAGTTCGACAAAAGCACGGCAGAAGCACGGCGTCTGAATCAAACTTTTGAATTAAGCTCGGCAAGCAATTAAGTTCGACAAGTGCTGCCGTGCTACACAGCTCTGGCACGGCAGCGATTCAAACGTCGGGCTTCTGCCGCGCTAAACAAAATTCATAAATTATATTAATGTATTTTGGCGAGATTGCGTTCCCACGGGGAGTTGTGAGAAGAATTGTTACGAGGCATCAGTAAATCCTAAATTTGGTTCGACTCTGGCACGACGTCTGAATCAAAGTTGTTTTCCTGTCGTGCTACAGTCGAACCAAATGACAATTAAGTTCGGCACGGCAGAAGCACGACGTCTGAACTGGGCCTAACTGTCAGTGTGTTGAGAAAAAGGCAGTTCCCATCTGATTTGCTTTCGAATAGCTCCCGCTTGGTGATTGGTTAAACTAAAACGTGCATCTTTATGAACCAATCAAATGAAACCAGCAGATTGTTCACTAGTAAGAGTGTTCCCGCGCTTAGCCCCTTCCACACTACATCAGATAAATTTGAAAGCACTACTTTATTCTTACGTTCAGGCCTACCGTCTTCACTAATCCAGGTAAACTGTCCACCGAAAACGGATGAATAGTGGATGAATATGACTTCAATTTAAAATACCTGCTTTGCGTTTTAGTGTCAATGGAAAACTTTTTGCAGAACGTAACTTTTTGAAAACGCTGACGTCTCCGGCAACGTTGCGTTTCCAGATTTATAGACATTTCCTTGCACGTCTTAGACAAATGTGTGGACGAAAAACATTTTATGCGTCTGTGTGCACGGGGCGTAAGCTAAAGCAAACAAAAAACGCTCACTCTGTGCTGAAATGTGACAAGAACTGTACCTCTTAAACCCCGTTTACACAGGTGCGGACAAACTGGATCAATTTAGGTCTCAGGGAAACTACCCACCCATCCCTCCCCTAAGCCATCATTTTGCCCTAAGCGAGAAGTAGATGTTAATGTTAGCTTAGGGGAGAGGTAGGTGGGCAGTTTCCCAGATACCTAAATTGATCCGACAAATTTTTGAAGGGACGAATTTTTCCCCTCTACACACGTTCACACGGAACCGTGCAAATTCTGTCACAGATTGCTGTACTGTTTGCCGTTCAAATACTTACACAGATCCGCGGATCCCTTGTAAGCGAATGGCGGGTTTTTTCCTTTTTAAAAAATTTTGTCCTCACCCATGTAAACGGGTCTCAAGAAAGGGTGTTAATTACATTTATAAGGATTAGTTCAGTCGGTAGAGCGCTTGACTACAGAGCGGGAGGTCGCGGGTTCGATTCCCGAGACCGGAGCAATACTCAGGGTCTTAAAATAACTGAGAAATGAAGGTACTCCTTTTGCACTGCAACTGTGGCTGGACCTTCTCGTGGCTCGGATGATCACGTAAAATGGCGGTCCCGTCAAAAATAGTGTCCCCAATTAGTACTTTCGTGCTAAATACATTGACACTCAAATAAAGCGCTTTTTTTATATAGCCGTCACTTTTACTCGTTGAAATTGTTAATTGTTTTTTGCCTTCAAGACAATTGCGACGGCTATACGCGTGTACTACAAGCGAATACACCCTAAGAGGTAACTAACATTATTGCCACTAAAGAACCTTTTCTCTTTTTTTTGTCAATGAAGGCAGCTATGAGAGATCAAGGAATCCGTGTGAACTGTATCTGCCCTGGAAGAACGGACACTGAAATGGACTTTCCTAGACACAAACTAAGAAAGGAGGAAATTGAAGCACAAGATAGCCTCCCCAAACAACCGTAAGTTTGTCAGAATTAGTTTAATTCATTTTTTTTCTAGCTGTTCCTTGCGTAACTTTTTGTTTTGTTTTTCCTGTGCTGGAAATAACTATATTTTGAAACATTTAAAATTGATTAAATACTACCATTAACCCGTTGTGGAGGTATATAAGCCAACCCCTAACCGTAAAAGCCGCCACCTCATCATGCCACTCGTATGCGCATGCATAGAGAGTTCTTCGGGTCTATGCTTCAGTACCACAGAGAACAGAACACAGAAGCTTCTACGGGAAAAGGTCATAAAACGACTCTGAAGTAAAAAGTTTCACACAACGTGAAAAAGTTTAACTCTAGGATTGGGAGCTTTGGTATAATCCTAGCTTTGTTTTTTGTTCTGCTTTGTTTTGTTTTTAATAGGATTTCTGCTGTTACCAAGGGCATTATCGAACTGATTGAGGACGACACTAAAATAGGAGAGGTTTTAGTTGTGTGTGAGACGGATGGAACCAAGTACAAGCTGTTTTAGATACACAGGATTCAATAAGGTACGTTTCCTTCTGCGTTGAAGGCAAATTGGCTTAGTTTAAGCGACTTCTTTTGCTTTGCACGTAACAGTGTTTTATCATTCTGGCACTGGCCAGTACTTTCAATTGAAAATTAATATTGCAAATGGTATGGAGTTGAGTGGAGACTGTACTCAAAAAAGGTAACACTTGAAAGTTATAATGGGCACTGATAAACTTGTGGTCCTCAAATAAATACTGGAAATCCTCTATTCAGATCCCCCTCTCAAATAATCCCTCTCCCCTCTTCAGCAGAAGCAGCTTATTACGCCCCCTCTCTTTAAGCCCCTCTTCCCCTTCCCCCATATTATGAAACGATAGACTATATTAATTAATCACGAATGTAACACTTCGTGTTGGACAGATCGCGTATGGTTCTGATGCAAGTGCTGGAAGTTTTTGATCTTCGAATGAACTCCAATTTTATGTTCCTGAACTTTTCCATTTTTTGTTCTCGTTCTTTTTTACAATTGATACCATCATCTTTGCCAAATTTAATATACTCCCTTCTCTCAAATGAGACCCCCGTCTCTACTCACCCGCCCACCCCTCAAACCTGACCCCGAGGGTCTAGAGCTTTTACTGCCCTGGTATTTTCAACTCCCTTCTCGGTTTATGAACAAATATCCTGTCTTATGTTTCGGTATACAATTTAACCCACTTTACGAACACCCGCTTGATACGGAAACCTCATTGTTACGGACATTTTGCTTTGTCCCTGGGGAAAAAAACCTTTGTATTTTGTTTATTTAACTTTAGAAAGTTCAACCAACCCGCTTAAGAGGACACCCCGTTAGTACGGACACTTTCTATGGCCCACTCAGTGTCTGTATTAACGGGGTCTGACTGTATTACATGGAAACACTGTCTCACAAGCTTGTAAGGATAGAGAGCTTAGAGCTCTGACTTCGATAGTCCGGACATCAACCGGAAGTTGTTTTCGTAATATTGCCACATACGATTTGTGACGTCAGCGCTTTATGCAAGGAACATGAAAAAAAAAAAAACATGCCGAGCTTCTCTTGGAAGAGGTGAAAGTGTACCCTGAAACAAAGCTTGCCAGGAACTTCTGGTTGCTGTTCGTACCTCTGGTAAGTCAAAGTTCTCGGTGTTAAGAACATTGCGCCCAGTGATTGTTATTAGTACATAGTCAGATTTTTTCTTGTTATACTAAGCAGGCCCTTTGTAGTCAGTCTGCTGAGTGGTCTTGGCAAGTGAGGATGGACAGGTTCGACCACGAGATCGGAAAAAGCAAACTGACAAGCAAACAAATTACCTTCACCTTGTAATAGCCCTTTTCACTCTCATGATCAGCACCTACGTTGGTTTGAAGAAACAAAAAAATAAAGTGGTGCATAAAGAAAGAATTCAACTCTTTCATGTTTGGTACGGTACACCAATATGGCCACCACTTCATTGCGCGTAAAAATGACGCGACAGTGGAAATCTACCTTAACTGACTGACTTGCTGACTGAGTAATGGACGATCTCACGATCTTAATCTTTTTACCGATAGCCCTTCTCTGTCCGGGTGACCACCCGCCGACCAACAAGCTTAAGACATTAGACTACGCCGGAGATGGCCAACATCTTGATCAATAGAGCGTTTTCACTCACGTGACCAGCATTTATGCAAATTTATTGAAACAGAAGGAAGCTTTTACATAAGAAAAGAGTTCAACTCCCTCAGGATTTGTTCGGTACACCAACATGGCCGCCGTTTTATTGTTTTGGAACACCAATATGGCCGCCGTGACGTCATGTGAAAACGCCCTATAGGTTCTACCATTATACATGTACAATCGTACTTTCTTTTTTTTTTCTTGCAGAAGTTGACCATTTTGCACCAGGTGCTCATGCTGCGGTCGGTTATCATAGCTGATCACAAGAGAGAATAGAATGAACAGAAGAAGGAAGAATGAAAGAGTAGAATGAATAGAATAGAATAGAGAGAATGCTGATCACCATTGCAGCTCTAACTAGTAACTGCTGTAGAGAAAACTACGAAGTGAGGAGCCCATGTACGGCTGCATATATTTGACATTCATCCCGAACGTTAGGAATTGTAACAAGCTCTTGTGTGCTCCAATGTTAAGTAAACAGTAAAGACGAGAAAGACAGAAATACTTTAAGATTCGATCCTAGGATATTGCAAAAGTTGCACGTTGTACTGGAATTTATCTTTCTTAACGTAACAAGCACTGAAAGGAAACATGTTAATACACGTCGAATTATTAAGGCTAGATAGTGATTTAAGTATGTTAGATAAGAAACGACGAAGCAGGAGTTTACAATGGCGAGCTGAAGTTGGCGAGCCATTGTAAATGCCAGATCCGGATCGATCCATAAATTTCGTTGAATTAAAACAGTCACACAGAAGCGAACTGCATCAAAAGTTAGTGAATATTGATTCGCTGGGTAGTAGTTTGCATAAAAAGTTTTTACTGTTTAGTATATAATAATCCCAGTTAATTTGTATGAAGTTTTAAAGCTAGAGCCCGGGAGGGGGGAGGGGGTGTACTTGAGTTAATTTTTGCTGGGTATGTGCCGCTGGCCTCTCGGAGCCCCTAGCCCATTGTAGTCTATTCTGTGGCCAATTATAGACCCCATCTTAGTCACTTTTAGGCAAATGTGTAATTTTCGCGATTCCAACTTAGTCATTTTCTATTTATCCCAACTTAGTCACTTTCTATTTATGTATCTACTTTACTTTTCACCTAAAGTACAAAAGTACATTGTGGTACGTTTGCTAACCGTAAATATGAAGAACTGTCTTACCGCAAAAATCAGAAAATGTGCGACCCCATTCTAGTAACTCTATTGAAAATGCGACCCTAGTGTAGTCACTCCAGTCGTGAAAATGCGACCCCATCAAGCGGCACATCCCCATTAGCCTCCTCTTATAAGGAAGTACCACCCTTCCCCCGGGAGCTAGAGGTGCATGCACAAATCAGCAGTCAAAATCAACAACAAAATGACCGAAGCTTGTCCGTGTTACACTGGAGTTAAGCAAGGTTGTATGTTATCACCCACCCTTTTTAATTAGTGATCTACCCGAATTTTTAAATTCACCAAGCTCAACCGATATTCTGCTTGATTACTCTGAAAGACCTATAAACACTCCTCAACAAGTTGGAATCCTACTGCGAGAAAACTGAACTATCTATAAATCTAGAAAAAACAAAAGTCATGATCTTTAATAATTGTGGCAAGTCCTTAAATAACTACTCGTTTAAGTATGGAGTAAATAAACTAAACAATGTTAAATCTTTTAAAAATCTTGGAATGACACTGAGCCCGTATGGAAATGTTGGTTTAGCTAGAGAAGAGTTACAAAAGTTGTGCTTAAGGCACTTTATAAACTAAGAAAAGAGATGGGTGACAACTTTAGAGAAAATATTATGCTGAGAATTAAGCTATTCGATGCTCTGATATCCCTCATACTTCTCTACGTAAGTGAAATTTGGGGTGTTGACTCTAACGACCAAATAGAAAAAGATCCCGCAGAATTGGTTCAAATTAAATTCTTGAAATGGTTGCTAGGTGTAAATAAATACTGCAGCAACAATGTATGTAGGGCTGAAACAGGAAGATTCCCAATAAAAGTCGAAGCACAATATAGGAATTTTAAGTTTTGGATAACTCTAACCAAACATCCAAAACACAAATTATCACAGGTGGTTTATAATGATATGAAGTCGAGGATGAATAAGGAATTATGGAGCCAAAAAATCAAAGGCCTATTAGACCAAATAGGGTCAGGATACCTCTGGACAAAAGCACATGAAATGACATAGGAATCTTGAACATTATCAAACAAAGACTGAAAGACATCGAATTACAAAGATGGTTAAGGGACGTAAACAATGACGTAAGAAAAGACGCCAACCAAAAGAACAAACTAAGAACCTTCCGAAAATTTAAAACAATAGAAAATTATAAATGTGAAGATTATCTCCGTCAGGTCACCAACATCCGACACCGGATAACTAACTAAACTCCGTCTAAGTAATCACAAATTGGCGATAGAGACAGGTCGGTATGTAAGACCTTATAACAAACCGGAAGAGAGGATCTGTCCTATCTGTAAAAAAGACGTAGAAGATGAAATACACTTTTTAACTCTGTGCCCTGCGTATCAAGAAAAAAGACGTACTTTATTTGAATACTTAAACAAAGAATACAGAATATCAGTAAACTGAATGACCCAGATGATGTTTTTCTGTTGTTAATAAACCCTCCGAGCAAGAACAAACCAGTGCAAAAGTTAATTGCAAAATAGGTATTCGACTGCTATGAGTGCACTAGCACTAGTGTGCAATTTGTGTTATGATTTTAAGTTATTTGGATAAAGTCGATGTACATAGGACTGTATAAGGCTCCAAATAAAGCATTGTCTTTTCTTGTCTTGTCTTGTCTTGCACATGTGACTCAAATACTACCTATTGATTGGCCATTATAGTTTCGATGAATAACTAATGAATTTTATAACTTGAGCAATATGAACTCAAGGTGTTCAGTAACATTTATGGTTAGTTTTTTACAACTGTATCAAAGAAAATTGAGTCTGCCGTTATAGAATGATTTTACTTGACCCGTGAAATAGGGAGTAGAATACTAGATATCTGTCACATAACTCCAACTAGAGCAACTATAGTGCAAAAGTGTACTAAATATGTAAAATACGCGGGGTGTTTTCCCATGGGTAACTTTCATTCATTCATTCATTCATTCATTCATTCCTTCCTTCCTTCCTTCCTTCCTTCCTTCCTTCCTTCCTTCCTTCCTTCCTTCCTTCGTTCATTTATTTATTTTTCCATTAACTAGAAATACAACAACATCATACAGAAATACATTAAAGATAATATACAATATTCCCACTAAATTATTTACAAGATCAATTGTGGTAAAGGCAGGGAAGCCTATATAGAAGCGGGGGGCTTATAAACTATAGGCTTTCTGG